GTACCTTCTTCTTGTAACACTACGTCAGAAGTATTTTCTTCTTGTAACACTACGTCGGAAGTTTCTTCTTCTTGTTTCCTATGAGTTTCAAACCTTTAGTCAACACTACGTCGGAAGTACCTTCTTCTTGCAACACTACGTCGGAAGTTTCTTCTTCTTGTTTCTTATGAGTTTCAAACCATTAGTCAACACTACGTCGGAAGTACCTTCTTCTTGTAACACTACGTCGGAAGTATCTTCTTCTTGTTTGTTTTTCAACTTGCCACTTGAATCAACAGAGATGGTTCGTTGGCTTTTCCTACATGAAATATGAATAGTTTTAAGCTCGATATCACGTGTGTTTTAGTTAGTCCGATAGGGGGAGTAACAAGTTAATTTACTTTGCTAGCAATACATTATTCTTATCCACCATTTAATTGCCTTTTTTAACATTTCGAACGAGAATTGTCAATACTGATTGTTCAATATGGATCGTTTATATATTTTTTGTGGTATTGTTCTTGTCGCTGCTCTTAAGAACATTCACGTATATGCAATGATGCCAACCCAAGTATTTGACTGAGCTCTGCGTTCCATATTATATGATGTGATTACGTAATTATTGGCGGTAGAATATTAAATTATGCATCTTTACGTTTATAATTGCATTTTAAATAATGCTATTTCTAAATTTGTGGACAACTTGCCTAAAATAGGTTGAGATTGAACATCATTTAGTGGAAGTACCGGTATCAAAGATACTGTGATGGGGTTTGGGGGCTTTTATATTGTGTATTATATGGAAATATAGATTACACAAAGTGTAACAACAAACTGTTTACAGATGTACCTCATTCTTATCTATCAGTGTGTATCAATGGTCATAATGATTTATTCTTTGAATTTTATTCCATGTAACATTTTTCTTTATTTGGCATTGGAAATTCGTGTAAATCTTTGGTTGAATAATGCATTAAAATATTAAAACTAAGTTTGTGTTCACTGCTTTACTGCCCACAAGTAACTGGGCAAATGACATTTTTTGTTAACTTTATCTATAACAAGCAAATAAATTCGTTCAACCATTTTATATTTAATGTGTAAGTTTATATTTCTAATACTTGTTCCAACTTATGAAACATGTGGTTAATAAATGCATCACTGTGCCACGTTAAATTACAAATCAGCTAGAACTACAAATTTGTGATTTGTTAGAAAGATAACTTATTTACTGAGTTTTCTCTAGACTGTAGGTTGTGACGGAGTGCTGGGTTCTGAAAAAACACTTGACCAGTGTGGGGTTTGTGGAGGAGATAACAGCACGTGCCGTATAGTCTCCGGTCTGTTTACTCGACCTAACCTACGAACAGGATACAATTTGATAGCCAGAATTCCTCGTGGCGCTTGTAACATCAATGTTACTGAACTGAAACATAGTCAGAACCATCTAGGTAAATTACTTTTGTTTTCATCATTTGGATTCTTTCTCAGTTTATCTCATTCACTGATAAACTTAACAATCGATTTCAGACTCTTGTGGTATTAAGTAACTAATTAGTTCACTGGTAATATAAGTCCGCTGTTTATTAAGTAATTTTATGCAGTAAGGTAACTTTATTTATTTGAAATATTTTATTTCTCCACCAGGTTTGTTAGTTTAGTTTGTTCTTTTTAATGATTGAGTTTACGTAGCATCAGATAAAGTATATAAAAATAAAGCATCAGAAGTCCTTCGGACCACAATATAAATAGAGACCTGCAGAAACACAGATTAAAATTTGATATACTATATTTTATTACAAAGTATCTTTGGTAGCTTGTACAGTTTGTATATCATTTCAATGTACCGATATAAAATAAATGCGTGGAAAGAATGTCAAAAAGTACAAGAACTCCTTTCGAAGAAAAAAAATCACAATATGTATAGAATTATTTATGTGCAAAATTAAATGTCAAATCTTTATAAATTAACACCTTTTTATTTAGTCGCATATACAAACTCCATAAATTCTATCCAACATATCAAAATAACTGGAAGATTGAAAAAAAATATATAGGTATTATAAAACGTTTGAAAGAAGAGGAAAATGTACGATAGTTTTGAAGAAAAAAATTGTGATATTTTAAATGAAAATTTGTGATGGTTTGAAACAAAAGTGGAAGGAATAGGAAATATGTGACATTATTGAAAGAAGAAAGAAAGTGTGTGGCCGTTTTAATGACAAAATGTGGAGAAATTATGAAGGGGATTTGAAATTTAGAAAGTTTGTAACATCTGTGAAGTGTTTCATTTTAAAATATTTGAAGAAGAATTGTAATTGTGTGGTTTTCTTTATAAAATATGTGTGTGTGTGGCAATTTGAAGGAGTGTAACATTTTGTAGAGAGCACGATGGATTGTGCATGACAGTGAAAGAGAGTGTGAGAAACATATTGGTCTCAGCAATAATATTAGTTAAAGTTAATTTCCGTATAATTATAAATAGTTAATTTGGTATGTTAAATATATATATTTACTTTTATATAATTATGTTGACTTTAAAGATATTTTTTTTTGTCGAATGAAGCTCATGACATCACAATAAATGTCTAGACTGTTTGAAAGGTTCTTCCTTAATAATTTATCCTTTGATGAAATTATGATTAATTTTGAAATGTCAGTGCTGAAATCATCAAAACTTTGAGCGTATTATTTTAAAAGAATGTAGATAATAAGTCTTTTCAAATACTATCCAGAGGCAGTCATCATGCTATCACTGAGTTATTGGAACAATGTTTAGGAGGAACAGATTTAGCTAATAGTAGTTAAATTCCTCGATCAAAACAGTACTGAAAAAGATTTTTAGTAAAAAAGAATACAAAGTTCGTGATTTAAAAGAGGATTATTGGACCAATTAAGTAATTTGTAGCCAGAAAAAGTTGGCTTAATAGCACAGTGAAAATAAATAAAACCTATATCTGTGTATGTTAGTAACTGCTGATGTAATAAAAATGAAGTTTGAAACATAGGTTTTACAGTAACCAAAACGTGTGTTTGACATTGTTATAGCCATTAGGACAAACAGTGGCGAATATGTTATCAATGGAAACTGGAATATTAATTGGTCCGGAACATACAACGCTGCTGGAACGACTTTCTTTTACACCAGGAGGAATCACATTACTCAGCAAATGGAAAATATCGTTGCAAAGGGTCCAATTAACCAAGATGTTCAGATATTATTGGTAACTTTTACTTTGATACGTAAATTTTATACAGTAGTGAAATATAAAACGTAATAAAAATGAAAAGCAAATTATGCTGTTAAGAGAAAGTTGTATACACTTCTAATGAATTGTTTTAAAATTATATTAAGTTCTCATTTAAATATGTAAAAAAATATCAAAGCATACAAAACCTTTATTATGATAAAGAATTAATATAAGAATTCTTATAGTTATTATAGTTATTCAGGTTAGCAGAAATCTGAAGAGCAACTTGTGTCGAAGTTGGTTTACACTGAAATATGTGAAAACATAGAAGCTTAGCATAAAAATGTTTGACATTTACATCTTATTTGTTAATTTGAAGTTAAGCACCAAACATGTAATAAGGTACCTGTGTTGTGGCCATGCAAGGCTCGAACTCCGAACTGTAGTATTACAAGAGATTGAGTTTACTGATGAGCCACATAGGGCTAATTATATCCGAATAACTAACGTACAAAGCATTAAAGAATCATTTATGAATAGCTTGACTATAAAGTATATGAACAATACTAATGATAAAAAACTACATTCAGACAACCAATTCGTGGTAATTAAGTGTAACAAAGTTTACTGGTTTTTGTTATCGTAATTTGAGTTGTTAAAAGTGTATTACTGGTCACCGCTAATATATAGAGTTTATATAAAGTTAGATTACCACAGATTTTTATTTTATATTTCATCAACTTACGGCGTACCCTAGTAGTTAGCGTATTCTGTGAATCTGAAGGTTTGTGGTTCGATCCGCTATATTCCTTAAACACATTCTGTACTGCAGCTGAAGAAGTATATTTGCCGTAATAGCCAATCATACTGTTCGGTTAATAGTAGCCAAGTAGGCGCCTGGTGCTGCTGACTGGTTTCAGGCGCTCTGTTCAAGCAGTTGTAAATTAGAGGTGACTACTCCTGAACTTTGGGGTTTAGTTCCTGTGGTACTTTTCAGGTTAAAAATGTCAAATATCAAACTTATACTTTGTCACAGTGATGGTGGTTCAGCGAAGGTGTATCAGGCGAATTGCCTCCAATATCAAACTTAGACTTTATCACAGTGGTGGCGGTTCAGCCAAGGTGTATCAGGCGAATTGCCTCAATTGATAAAGTATAAGTTTGATTAGTAAAGTGGCCAGTCATTGTAGTAAAGTGTCCAGTCATTGCAGTAAAGTGGCCAGTCATTGTAGCAAAGTGGCCAGTCATTGTAGTAAATTTCAGAAAATGTTTTTGTTTTAACATAAACTTAAACATTACACGCAAATAAAGCTAGAAATAACTTATACTTATTTACTCAAGTACACTTTTCGGAATTTTACATATACATTTAAAAATAATGTTAGAATATCCTTACCTCTTTCTGTAAGACACAGCTTTAACTGCATCATTTGGTTGCATTTATTAGACACATAACAGCTATGACGTTAGTTGCATGCTTTATTTCGCAAGGTAACATGAATATTACTAGTTATTTTTTCTACACTGTGCGGTAAACACACTGTTTGAAAAAATGTAGCTGAAAGTGACACTACCTATTCTTTTGCAATAATATTATTTTATGCTCTTTATAATAGACAGATGACATTGCAAATGTAATATATATTTACTGGAATTCCACCATAATCTAAAGCATGATTTAGTTCTTCGGTTTGTACTTGTCGACGGTTATATGGTTTGAGTTGCATTATAGAAAAAAAAACAACAAAACACAAAATAGATTCATGGATGGAAGAGGCAATCGTCTTATACACCTTGGCTGAACCGCCATCACTGTGATAAAGTATAAGTTTGATATTGGAGGCAGTGCGCCTGATACACCTTGGCTGAACCGCCATCACTGTGATAGAGTATAAGTTTGATATTGGAAGCAATTCGCCTGATACACCTTGGCTGAACCGCCATCTCTGTGATAAAGTATAAGTTTGATATTGGAGGCAATTCGCCTGATACACCTTGGCTGAACCGCCATCACTGTCAATGACTGGCCACTTTGCTACAATGACTGGCCATTTTACTACAATGACTGGTCACTTTGCTACATTTGTAAAACACAACACTTCTTCCATTTGTATACGTAAAACAGAGACTGGCCACTTTACTACAATGACTGACCACTTTACTACAATGACTGGCCACTTTACAACAATCACTGGCCACTTTACTACAATGACTGGCCACTTTGCTACAATAACTGGCCATTTTACTACAATGACTGGCCACTTTGCTACATTTTACTACAATGACTGGCCACTTTGCTACATTTGTAAAACACAACACTTCTTCCATTTGTATACGTAAAACAGAGACTGGCCATCTAAAATGTTTGGTAGTTGATTATGCTTAATATAAAAATGCGGATATGTACTGCTTTAGTGGTCTGCCTCCAAGAAAATGGACCAAATTGTGCCCTTCTATCGAAGCATTATTAACAACACTGTTAAATAAATGAAAAAAAAATACTCAAAACTGCTTGTAATGTTCTGGCATAGCAATTGGTATGGATGTTTTTGTGGCAGGGCTAAAGCCTTTATGCCCTTTGATTCCTTTACGTGACTCGGATCCAAAATATACCTAAATGTTATTGCTGATTATATCCACCCCACAAATACGGCAATCAGAAACATAATCCAACAATCGTATTATCCAAAATGGTTTGAAAAACATAACACTGACTTTATTAATTTTTGTGGGTAAGCATATTTACCATATTTAGTAGGAAAATTTTAGCCCATAATCTGAGAAATGGGCTACAATTAAACAAAATTATTTCTTGGTCTTGTGAAGTTTATGTCACGCTGAAGCCAGGTTATTTTGGCAGCAAAAATTTGTCCAATATGATATTGCATGGGTTTTATAATAAAGTGGCCAATAACTAATAACATAATTACATGGGTTTCATAGTAAAGTGACCAATAACTAATGGGTTTTATAGTAAAGTAGCCAATAACTAATAACATAATTACATGGGTTTCATAGTAAA